TTATATAGGGAGAAAAAGCACCCACTTCCAGGAAAAATATGTGATCAAAAGGCCCAAAAGCAGAAGTAATATAAAAGCAGAGACAAAAAACACCACTTTGAAACAAAATTAAAACTGTGGCTGACTGTCCAGTCGCCTTGCTACACAGGCAGTGTGTGTGCCATATAGAAGGATCAAGTAGTGTGTGGGGGTGTCCACTCACTCAGGCCCCTCCTCGAGTCACCACTGTAGAGGTGCACAGATATTGAGAAGTTAATGGGAGAAAGATTGTTTACTATTTTTGTCTCTGAAGGTTAGTTAGGTATCTCTGTGTACACAGCGTAATTCTTGAAATAGTTGCATCTTTTTATGTTGGTTTTTAAAGATTGTTCACATGGTTTGTATGTCAGGCCAAGCCTCCTTTTTTTCTTGCTGGATAGGCAGGAGTAAAAGGTCCCACACATGTTAACTTTAGGGCTGGAACTACAGGCAGAAGTCAAAAGCAGCAGCCAAAGAATTTGCCTTTGGACCAATGAGGCTCTTTCTCTCTGTGCCGTGGGAAAGCTGTGGTCTCAACGCGGGACTTTTTTTGGGGGGGTGTGCACTGAAGGCGTCCAGGCTGAGCAAAGAAGGTACAACAGGGAGTAGAAGGAAAAAATGTGTAGAATCCCCCCACACCTCCTATTGCAAATATCACTGAGCCACTCTTAGTGCTGGTTCCCTGTGCCAGTCTGGCTGTAGCCACACCCTATGATCTCTGCCCGGGCGGATGGCCACAGAGGGAGTCCCTCTGTGACCAATTTGTAAATCACAATATTTTCCTTTATACCATGATTTTTCCACTGGTGGTAGTGGGAAACTGATGCCCTGACCCTTATATTAGATCTAGAGTTCTGGTGCTGTCCATGAGAGCAGCATCTCTGAGTTTCCAGCCCCTCCCCCATGGAGCCTGTTCTGCCTGACTCTGGTCTGCTGCTGACAAACTGGAAGTCAGCATTCACAATTTTGAAGTAATCAAGTTATCTGTTGGTGGATCTTTGGATTGCTCCCAATTTTGAACTATTATGAATAAAGATACTATAAAATTTTTAAATATTCTTTGAACTACTGTTGATAATATGTTTTGTTTTTGTTTCACTTGGACAAATAACTAGGAATGTAAGTGCTGAGACACAAGGTAATGAACTGACAAAATTTTTCCCAAATCAAGTGTCCCATTTTATAGTCTTTTTGCATTTCTCTGATGAATAGTGATGTTGAACACTTTTCTTGTGTTTTTTGGCCCAGTATATATTCTCCATGGTATTTTCAATCACCTCATCTGCATGCAAAAGCTGACTAATAACTAAGGAAGACCAAAGAAGAATGAATGCATTTGTATTGTTGTGTTGTTGAAGAATATTTAATATATCATGGACAGTCCAAAGAAGGAACACATCTGTCTTGTACAGTCAGAATGCTACTCAGATGCAAAGATGGTGACACTTCATCATATGTACCTTAGACATGTTATCAGGAGGAATGAGTCCCTAGAGAAGGATATGATGCTTGGTAAAGTAGACAGTTGGTAAAAGAGGGGAAGATCCTGAATGAGATGGATTGACACAGTGACTGCAACAGTGGGCTCAAACACAGGAAGGACTGTGAGAATGGCACAGAACCAGGCTATGTTTCATTCCGTGTGCATAGACTTGCTTGTTGAGTCTGAACTGATTAGACCATACTAGCAACAACAACAAAAACAACATATTTTCTTCTATAAAGTGTCTGTTTAAATCTCCCCCCCCCCCCATTAGGGGTCATTTGTCTTATTAGTGAAATAGAAAAGTTTGCTACAGTTTGAGGAAAGAAGTCTTGTGTCAAATATCAACTTGAAGAAAACAGCAAATAAAAATACAGACAAATATAAATTCATTTTCTTAAAGCCTACTTTTGAGAAACAGACATTTTTACATTTTATGAACTCAAATTTATATTTCATTTCTTTTTATACCTCATGATTGTGAAGGTTTTCTCTTATCTTTTACAAGTCTATTGTTGATGTCTCTCCTATCTATCTATTGTTGATGT